GTAAGGAGAGTAAGTTACCAGGATTTGGCTCTAGCGTACTTTAGAGCTTGAATTCGATATATGATTAAATATATCTAAAAGGATTTGTAAAGGGGGTAAGGAACCTATTCTGGATACAGTACCGGAATTCTGTCTCAGAACCCTTCTTTATGTACTACTCCTCTTGGTCCATACTTTCAAAGCATATGTCTTTTTCTTCTAGTATAACAACCCAGTAGTTTGGCTAGTATGTCCTCTGCTATTAGAACCTAGTCACTCAGTTCTCTGATCTTGGGCTCTGGTTCAAATTCATTCCTCCTGTAGTACTGTTGTAGATTGCTACTATCTCCAAACTCGGACTTGCCAAATGGGTTTTTGGTTATTCTGGTCTCCTAGATTTATTATACTAAAGCTTCTATTACTAGATAGTGTAACCAAGATTACAGATTAATCTAGATCCAACCAATAGAAAGTCGTCAATCATACACAGACCTATTTTTCAAAATTGTTGCTAGTGGAATTTGAACTCTAGACTTGCCGCTTGGAGAGGGTGACAACTAGACCACTACACTAAGTTGCTATACCTTTTATAAGCTCATGATTATGTTGATTTTTAATCTTTGTAATGTAAACCAAATTATCTTTTTTCTGACAGTATATATTTACATAAAACTTGCAATTTTTTGCATAATGTTCTTTATTATAATTTTCAACTATGTAGATTTCTTTTCACATAACATATTTTTGATCTTTTATACATGTATAAACACAGTAACAGGGTATTTTATCCTCTTATCCTTTTCGCTATATGTAATCATGAATGCAAAACCATATTCTAAACTATGACCATGAAGTTATCTTAAAAAAAAAAAAAAAGTTAACTACAATTATAAAAAAAAAATAACTAATGATTACTTATAGATTTTTAGTTACTCATCAAGTTCTTTCCAATTATTAAAGTTTATTTCTGGGGCAACTGGATATAATGAGCCTAACTCTTCATTATTTTTATCTTTGTTATTAGTTTCAATTTTTACCTCATATGTAATTAACTGGTTAAAATCATTTTCTAGAATACCTAAATGAAGTGGCTCTATATCTTCATCAACTTCTAAAAAGTCTCCATGAAATAACAAGTCTTTAATATCAGTTCTTTGTATATTTTTATATGTATTTAGCTGATCAAAACTTTTATCTGTTTCATAAGTATTTCTCGAACTGCATACTTCAACTAAATTAAAGGTAAAATTATCTTTGCTATTATCTATGATATTGAATAACCAATGAATCCAAGAAAATTCTATACTATCATCAAGATAGTATTATAATCATCTTCAATATTAGATGATGAAGGGAGCAAAAAAAGTTCCGTATTTTTAATAATAGTATTATCATTCATCATAAACTGCTCTAATCTATTTTTCTTGCACTAGATGAAAATTCGAAGTACAAAAGAACTAACAAATAAGCATAACACTGCTATTTATATGATCTAACCTAATTACATCATTATTATTTAATTTTATAAAACAGATATGATAGTTAATCAGTTATGTTATATTATATGAAAAAAATAAATATATAGTGTTTAACACCACTGGTTTAATATATAATTTTTATAATTAATTATTAAAATGCAAAATCACTCTTAAAATAACGATAAGAATTGAATATAGAATGTTACTAATTAAAAATAAATATCTATTTTTACTTATTTAAAAATTATAGATTTTGTTATAGCTACAACTCAATATGATAAAGAATATAGTATTTAATAAGAAATAATAACTGAAATTAAGTATTAAATGTAAAATTATTTATACTTATCTCAAAAATTTTTAGAATTTATTGCTATCTAATGTGTAAAAAAATATAATAAATATTGAATTAGAAAATGAAACCTACAAGCGAATTATAAAAATTATATTTTTTTTAAAAAATCTTAGATTTTACTATTACCTTTGCTATATAATATTATAGAAAATATAGTACAGTATATATTAAATAAGAACTGGTATTTGATTAAAATAATAGCTTATATATATTTTTGAAATTTTAGGTTTTACTATTATCATCACCTAATGAGAATGTGATAAATACTAAACCAATAATAACTATTTCAATTTAAAAATAATTAACTATACTCTTCTTCATATTTTAGGTTAATTATAAAGTTTATATCTAATACTATTTACTTTTTTTCTTTTTTATTAATTATATTTTTAATACTCTTTTTTTTTGAAGTCACAAATGTTTTTAATATAATAGTTCTAAAAGTATATAATATTTATTTTAATTATTGGAATTATTAAGAAAATTTTTAGAATTAATATCATCTTTTTTGTTTATTATATCAAATATTTGTATGATAATAGATTTCATATATAGTACTTCTTTTAAAAAAAAAAAGCAAGTAGTTTAGATTTTAATAAATAACTTGCAATTTTATAAATCTTTCTAATTGAATATGAGTAATATATCTTTTAGAAAGATTAACTATTATAATCTGAATTTTGTTTGCTTTATTAAGTATTTCAACTACTTGTAATTTTTTCACAAGATCTTCTTTTATATTACACTTAATAGCAAGCTGATTTAATATATTTTTTTAATTTTAATTTTTTTTTTTTTGATAACCTTGTACTAATTTATTAAAATATTAAAATTTAAAAAATTAATCTGGACCGATTCACTAACTCTTCTCGACGATCACTTGTACCAAATTTAAATAAAACAAAAATTCAATTTTCTCTTAATTTTATTAACTAAAGCTATCTTTTCTAAATAATTAAACTTGTTCTAAAGGCCAAATTACATATAACTCTCAATTTTTACAACCTTCGGGTTGATTC